TTGTGATTGCTCTTTGCCTGTAAATGTGCTTTGTCAAGTTGGAACCATCCCAACTGACCCTCTAGCGGGTTTTCAGAGTCTGTTAATGGCATAAGAGGAGATGGCCCATCTTTCTCCCTCAGAGCAGCTGGCAGATTCAAGCTGCCTGCAGAGCCTGAATTGGTGGTGCAACTCCTTACCCACTTTGCAATGTATAATACTCCAATACATGGACGTACCACAGTCTCTTTAGCCATCTGTCCATCGGTGGGCACATGGGTTGTTTCCAACTCTTTGCTATTATAAACAGTGCTGCAATAAACATGAGTGTGGATATATCTGTTCATGTCACGGCTCATATCTCTTTAGTAATAATTCCTAGTAACCCATATTTCTTTAGTATATTGTTCACATTTCTTTAGTAACAATTTCTAGTAGTGGAATTGCTGGATCAAACGGTATTTCTATTCCTAACTTTCCAAGGAAGTGCCAAACTGCTTTCCATAGAGGTTGCACCATTTTTCAATCCCACCAAGAGTGTATGAGAGTTCCAAGCTCTCCACACCCTCGCCAGCTTTTGCTGTTTCTGTCTCATTGAACAAAGCTGTTTTTACTGGAGTGAGGTGACGTCTCATTGTCATTTAGGTTTGCATCTCTCTGATAGCTCACTGCAGGTTTGAATATTTCCATAATGGCATGTTCAGTGCAAATGCAAAGCAAATAGAGTAACTGACCAGCTGGAAACCTTCCAACTCTTCCTTCTTCAAAACTGTCCCCCACCCCCACTCCCCGCCCCGCTGACCTCAAAGACTTCATCTCCTACACTTGCTCTTTAAGACAATAACTAGGCAGATGAGAATAAAGCTCCATGGGATACCCTTGGTGGGGGGGAGTTTTAGGTCTCACAATATTGTTGCCTTTGACAGGGTGCAGCCATCGCTTTTCTTTTATTCTACGTTGTTGTTATCATATGGCATCAAGAACCAACTCCTAGCTGACCCTCCAGCAGGTTTTAAGAGGCTGTAAATCGCACGGGAGGAAACTGCCCATCTTTCTCCTGCAGAGCAGCTGGTGGATTCAAATCACCTGCCTTTAAGTTAACAGTGCGATGCCTTCCTATTAGGCCATCTGGCTCTCTATTGCTTTTTGTTGTTGCTGCCGCTGTCAAATTGGAACCAACCTCCATCAGGTTTTCAGAGGCAGTAAATCAGTTGGGAGAAAATTGCCCATCCCTCTCCTATAAAGCAGATGGTGGATTCAACCATCAGTGGTGGAAAATATTTTCATTTTCCTTCTCTGAGAGGTTTCCGCCTTACACAAGTGGAAACCTTATCATGGGTTTTACTGTATTTATTAAACGTGTTCTGTGCATCAGGCAACTGGTGGCAAGTTCTAGTGGTGTAGTGGATTATCTATTGGACTGCTAACCAAAAGGTCATTGGTTCAAATCCAATTGTTGTTCCACAGGAGAAATATGGGGAGGAGTCTTCTCTTGTAAATATTCATAAGTTTGGAGATCCAATGGAGGGCTGCTGTGAGTTCGAACAGGTACAACAGTGAATCAGACAAATTATAATCCCCGCCCATGTGGGTCTGAGACTCCAACTACCTTCCTCCACTTGCCCATTTCTTCCCAACTCCGGGCTCTGAGCCAACTACAGCACTCTCGATTCATGACTTTGTACGTGCATATGAGCTTCAGAACTAACACTAATCGATGAGAGAATTGCAGTGTTGGCCAAGACTATTATCCTACGGACTGCCTAAAGAACAGACAAGTCTGCTTTGGAGGAATTGTTGCTCGTTAGAGGCAATGATGGTGACATTTCATCTCACACATACTTGTAGGCCATGTTGTCAGGTAGAAAAAAACATCATGCTGAGAAAGATAGAGAAAGAGAGGAAACCCTCAACGAGATGTATTGACACAGTGACTGTCCCAATGTTGACTCGAACATGACAGAAATTGAGAAGACGGCACAAGATAGGGCAAGGTTCAGATCTGTTGTCCATACGGTGGCTACGAGTCTCAGCCAACTCGATGTCACCTAACAACAACATGAGCCCGGGGAGGCAGGACCATCTGTACTGCTCACATCCTAGGTTTACAGCCCACGTCTAGAATAGAGTCTAGTTTCCAGTTCGACTTCATTAGCAATTGCTGTTCTTGATTAAACCATTCCAACTCATAGTGCCCCCATGTGCTAGAACTACTCCATGGGGTTTTAAAGGTGGAAAACCCTGCTTCTTTTTGACCTGTCTTTGAAGGCTCCTCTGGGGGTGTTTGAATCACCAATCTTTGGACTAACAGTGCTTACCTATTTGCATCACCCAGGGACTCCCAATAATAATCAGTTGAAAGAATATTAGCTAATAATTATCTTGTGCTTGTTATATATGCACCTGGGGGGGGCGGTGCTGGTGGAGTCATGCTTAACTATTCAGGTGCTAACTGAAAGGTTAGTGCTTGAAATCCATTTTGTCCAGGCAAAAGCACTTTATGATCTGCTCTCGTAAAAATTCGCACCTCAGCCAAGGTCACTGTTGTTTATTCCGACTCATAGAGACTGGACAGGACAGAACAGGACTGACTCCATTGGATTTCCAAGGCTGGTGGCTTCAAATCACCAGCCTTTAGCCTAGCAGCAAAGTACTTTAACCACTGAACCACTGGGACTCTTTGTGAAGATTGTTATTGTGTGCTGTCTGAAAACCCTCTGGCAGGTTGTCAGAAGTAGTTGAAATGCCCGAGAGGAGATTGCCCATCCTTCTCTCGTGGAGAAGCTGGTGGACTCAAACTGCATGCCTTTGGGATTACAACCCAGCTTTTTGCTACCAGGCCACAGCCTAAGAAATCCTAGTGACTCTGTAGGAGAGAGTTCTACTCTGTCCTACAGGGTCGCTAGGCGTCAGAATACATGAAAAACAATAACAACATATATGCACCTTCTCTGTTTGAAATCACATACAAGATGATGCTACTCCGTCCCAAAACTGTCATAAGGCAACATCACAAAGTCTGCTTAAACAGAAGCAAAAGAGGTTTAATGAAGGATAGAGACAGTCCACCCAAGGAAATACCCAAATTCACTGAGTGAAGATGCCACTTTGCTAGAAAAATATAGTCTTGCATTCTTGTACTGGTAGAGCAGGAACTAAAGGTTATAAAATTTGTGAGTGACTGAAAGACCATCAAGGTCATTAAAGGTGAGCCACCTGGAAGGGAGCTCTAGTGGCCTAGTGGTGAGAAGTTGTGCTGCCAACCCAAAGGCAGGTAGTTCAAATCCCCCAGCGATTCCAGGAGAGAAAGATGGGCAATTTCCACCCAAGTGATTTACAGCCTCTGAAAACCCACTGGAGGATCAGCTATGAGATGGTGCTGACTCAAGGGCACATAAGAACATCTAGAAGGGAGAATTTGGCAAGGACAGGTGCATCACACATAAGAGGCATGACATGATTGGTCAAAGGTGTGTGCCTTTCAGTATATCACAGAGGGGCTAGGGCCAGCTTTTTTTAAGATCCAAATAGTAAAATCTCGTCTTCAATCATGTCTGTTTCCAGGGACCCACCGTAAAGCTCTATCAGCGAAGGTGTCACATTTTGCCTCTGTCTGGCTATAGTGGAAAAGGTCCTCTGGAGATAGACTGTAATAGCTTGTATCTGCTGTTATGTTGTTGTTGTTATGTACCATCCAGTCAAAACTGACTCGGAGCTCATCCTCCAGCCGGTCCACAGAGGCAGTAAATTGCACAGCAGGAGATGGCCCATCTTTCTCCTGTGGAGCAGCTGGTGGATTAGAACCACGTGTTTTGGGGATGGCAGTGCAACTCCTTACCACTAGGCTGAGCTCCCTTATATAGCAGTTGTTGTCATACACCTGGTAGACTTCAGAAAAAAAGGACTGTCCTCTTCCTTAGGGTATATAACCAGGTCAGCATCAGTGTTAGAGGAACTGTTGTCAAGCAAAGGAAGCTTCTTGAAAATCTAATGGATTCCAGACTCATGTCAAGAGGTAAAGTGGAGCCAAGCTTCTGTTTTCAGACAGCTCTGTTTACATGCACCTGGTACTTGGTTTACACCTAGTGACCTAGCGAGTGAGATTGGTGCTGTAATCTCAAAGGACCACGGTTCGAATCCTCCAGCTGCTTCACTGGAGAAGGATAAGCAGTCTCCTCCCATGCGATTTACTGCCTCCAAAATCCCTCTGGAGGATCATTTTGGGCTCGGTTCCAACTCTACAAAACACAACAGAGTGCTTCTGGTCTAAATTCTCTTAGAAAACCTACCCTCCTTCCCTTATTTTTCCCCCCATAAGGAAATTCAAGAATAAAAAAGGGAATATGAAAAGTCGAATGACTAGATTCGGATTCCATGCTCTTAATCTCTAAACTCCCTCCAAGGGAACGAATTCTTTTGACTATTGATTCAGTCAAGTAGACAGGCCAGGGTCCAAATTCCAGCTCAGCTGCTTGTTGGCTGTGTGATCTAAGACAGATCCAGGGACCTCTCTGGACGTCCCAGACTGTGGTCAAGGTGAAAGACACTGGAGACAGCCCCTCTCCTGCTCCCACCTCCAGACAGACACGCAGGCACGCACGCGCGAGCGCGCGCACACACTCCAATTCCACCCAGGAGAGGGAAGGCAGGAATGAGTTGGAGATAGCGGCGCGGGGTCACTGCCAGGCCCGGGGTGGGGCCTCCCAGCGGTAGCCAACGTCTTTGATTTCCAGGTTCCTACAGTTTGTCCACGCCCTACCTGAGGGCCCGGCTGCTGTCTCCGCCCCCCAGGCCGCGTGCAAACTGGGGAGACACCCATTAAGAGGTTGGGTCGCTAACGCGAGGCAGCGGCAGTGCACCGGGAGAATAGGACAGCGGGGTAAGGATCTCCCAGGCAAGCCGAGAAAGGGGGTTGTTAAAAGCCCCTCCCCTCTCTGATTTCGTTGGGGAGGAGCCGCCCCACTCGTCCCCCTTCACTGGCCCCACGGGTCTGAGCGCAGAGAAGGCGCATACCGGCCGCGATGGAGGCTGTGGGCACCTGGGCGCTGCTGTTGCTGTTGCTGCTGGTGGTGGTGCTGACGCTGGCGCTGCCCAGGACCCGGGCGCGAGGCCACCTGCCCCCTGGGCCCGCGCCACTGCCGCTGCTGGGGAACCTGCTCCAGCTCCGGCCCGGAGCGCTGTACTCGGGGCTCCTGCAGGTGAGGGACCTTGGGGACGCTCTGGCAAGGGGCAGAGACCAGGGCCAAGAAAGGGAGGGGGGACGATGGGGGTGTTCCAGGACTGGGGGCGTGCTTCGCGGGTATTCCAGAGAGAAGGCCGGGTGGCTGTGTGGAGAGCCGCGCATGAGAGAGATCCCTTCGGGGGAGAGGGATCCCTTGGGGTGCAAGTGGGAGATGAGAGCCAAGAAGGGCTTAGGGCTCAGGGCTCGAGCAGCAGGATGCTGGGAAGGGAATTAAAGGTGGGGAAACCAGAAATCCAGGACAGGGGTCCCAGGGAAGAGGGCCTACCGCATCCTGGGAAGACAGTGGGGGCAGGGACTAAAGCGGATAGAGTGGAGTCCAGGGTTTCGAACCACTTTATTGCGTCCAGGCTCCATGCTGAGGACTTGATTTTTACACTCCAAACAGAGTGGACAAGATTCTCCAGGTGTTTCGCAAGCTTAAGCACCTGGCAAACTATAAAAAATGCAAATTCTTAGCAAGGCGTTGAACTGCGTCCACGCCCTGGCGGCGTGGTTGGTGAGGGTTCTACGGCGCTAATGTGGTTAGGAGGGAAGCTCTGGTGGCCTAGTGGTAAGAAGCTGTGCTACAATCCCAAAAGCACAGGGTTCAAATCAACAAGGCTGCTCCGTGAGAAAAGGATGGGCAGTCCCTTTCTGGGCGATTTACAGCTTCTGAAAACTCGCTGGTGGGTCAGCTATGAGTCAGTGGCACACACAGGTGATTAGGGAGCTCTGATAGCTTAGTGTTAAGGAGCTGCACCGCCAACCCAAAGTCACATGGTTCTAAGTCCTCCAGCTGCTACACTGGAGAAAGATAGGCAAGCTCCTCCCTTTCTATTAACTGCCTATGGAAACCTTCTGGAGGTTCGACTATTAATTGATCCTAACTTGATGGTAGTAGGCGTGGGGGACAAGGGGAGCATCAGAGAAAAGGGAGCCTTTACAAAAAGGAGGGAGGGACAAAGATAACAAGATGGCAAAGAAAGGAAGGTGGGATGGGGAGATTAGAGCACTATGGGAAAGCTGTGTTGAGGCAGGGAAGTTGGAGGGACTGTGAAGACAGACAGTGAAGACAGATGAGGGACTGTGAAGCCCCCCCCCCAAAAAAAAAAGTAAAAGCATCAAGAGTAGAGGGATCATAGCAGAGACTTTGTGAGGAGAAGGGCTTGGTTAGGAGTATGGAGAGGTTGTTGTTGTTGTAGTTTTGTAAGTAGAGCAGAAACCACCTCATAGCTGACCTTCTAGCAGGTTATCAGAGGCTGTAAATCACTTGGGAGGAGATTGCCCATCTTTGTCTCTCCAGCAGCGTAAACGTGTCTTTCTTTTATTATTATTATTATTATTATTGTGTGTGTGTGTGTGTGTGTGTGTGTGTTTGAGTGAGTGTACCGTCAAATCAGATCTGACTGATACAGAAGGAGATTGTCCCTCCTTCCCCGGCAGAGCATCTGGTGGATTCGAACCGTGCGCCTCTGGGATTGTAGTTGCAGCTCCTTGCCACTAGGCCACCAGAGCTCCCCTACGTCTTTCTATGGAGCTGGTAGCACAACTCCTCATCACTGGACTTCAGAGCTTCCCACAATGAAGAAGGGAAGGAGAATAAGAAAGCAGACTTGAGAGGGTTCCCATGTTTGGGAGAGGGTCGTGCTGAGAAAGAGCTCTCTATTTAAGAAAATATCCTGTTCCGCCTCCTAGAACCTGGGTTGGGAGCTGGAGGTTTGGGGGAAAATAATTCTGCCCCAGAATTGGGTCTGAGCCATGACTGGAAGGAGAGGGGCTAGATATCTGAGAAGCTGAGGAGGTTTGGGGGGCCAAAAAAAAAGGCACAGTTGTTCATTTTCACTGCCATTTGTCAGAGTGGGGGTTCTGGGCCATCTCAGGATCAGAATTTGGGGTTGTACAGAAAGTTAAGGGAGTAGGAACTGGAGGGCATGTTGAGAAGCAAGTTCAGGGGAGCTGGCCTGGGAGCTTGTTGTCAGAAGGGAACTGGGCTCTTACTGCATGGGGGAGGGGTGTCCTGCTGGAGGGGGCAAAAGCCAGGCCAGATGACTAGGCACTTCGAGGGGATGGGCTGCAGCTGCCCTGACAGCCCTGCCCTCCTCCGGCCTTCCCACAGCTAAGTAAGAAGTATGGACCAGTGTTCACTGTGTACCTGGGACCTTGGCGGCGTGTGGTGGTCCTGGTCGGACACAAGGCTGTACGAGAGGCTCTGGGAGACCAGGCAGAGGAGTTCAGTGGACGAGGGACATTGGCCACACTGGACCGGACCTTTGATGGCCATGGTAAGTCAGGAAAGGAGTTGAAAACTCCTTTCAATTGCTTTCACACATGGCTTAGCCTTTGTTGCCTCATCTGTAAAATGGGATGATAGGAGAGCCTATGACATAAGGTTGTGCTATACTGAGAGTTAAAGACCATGCCTTGCAAAAAGTACCCAAACCAACCAACCTAAACCCATTGAGTTCTGACTCACAACCACCCACCATCTGTTTTCCAAAGCTGTAAATCTCTACAGATAGATATTTTCCCTTCTTTCTCTGGTGGAGTAACTGGCTAGTGCATTCAAAACACAGACCTTTCAGTTAGCGGCCTATAATTAGCACACTTCCCCACCAGGGCTCCCTGTCCAAAGTCAAAATGCACTAAACACTAGGTTGCATGTTGGTGTCACTGTTTCAGTGAAGCTTTTGAGGGTTTGGGAGAAAGAAGGGGAGCTTCGAAGCACAGGAAGGTGATGAGCGAACACTCAAAGCAGAGGAACTTTGCATCACATGTAGGATTGTATCAGAAATTTTTAAAAAACTCACATTTGACATGCATAAAAGCTCATTTCATTTATTGCAAGGTAGACTTGGCAAGGCAGGCAAGTAAAACTGTACAACATTCTTTTAGGAACTGATTTAGGGTTAACAATTAAAATGTTAGTTCATGGTTACAGGCCAACTTTTCAGACTTTAGGCTTTTTATCCTTAACCAGAAGTCCTGGGTAGAAGGCTTAACCATGGCCTGAACTTGGCAGAGGTTCAAGGTCAGTGGCAGTGGGCTGCCTCAGTATTTACCTCTGCCTTCTCTCACGGAACAAGCGGAAATGTAGAATTTATGTGTGCATTTGTCACCTTGGCTTTACACGAGAGCCAGTGTAGTTTGGGGCTGGCTGGAGAAGGTACAGAGAGGGATCAAGGCCAGAAAGGGGGAGGTACAGGGACTACAGAGATGTAGGGACCTGGAGGCTGCCCGATCCAATCTTGGGGTGGGAAATAACCAGGAAGACTTTCTGGGGCAGGAGTAAGGAAAGACGTCACCAGACCAAAGAACATACAAAAGTATGAAGGTGAGAAAAAAACCAAGAGTTCATAAATTCATTCTACTGGCAAATCCTCCTTGTGCAAGCCCATACTGGAGATACAGAGATGACAATGGCAGATGTAGTGTCCTCACATTGTGGGAGAGTCAGGCTCATCTTGGATTTTAATAGAAAAAAAGGACAGGAACGGCATGGAGGACAGAACACAGAGTTGGAGGGAACGGGAAGTCTTCTCAGAGGAGGTGACATTGAGCTCATAACTGGAGGAGGCTGGATAGAGGAAATGAGAATGATCCAGGCAGAAGGAATAGTGAGGAGCAGAGGCCGGGTGGGAGGGGAGGGAGGCGTGACCTCTTTGAGGAAGTGAGAGGGCTTGTCTGGGCTGTTAGGTTGCAAGATGAGTAATAAGGCTGGAGAAGTGGTAGGAGCCTGGTCACGCAGGGCCTGTGAGTCACGCCAGATGGGAGAGGCCAGGCAGAGTGGCTGGGCTTTTCAGGTTTCCTGGGAGCCGTGGATATTAAGCTGGAACGGCTGTGGTCAGATTCGAAAGATCCCCTGGCTGCTTTCTGGAGAAGCAAAACGAGTGAAGGCAAGAAGCCCAGAGGGAGAGCAGGCCTGGACAGTAGGAGAGAAGTGAGGGGCTGCTGGGAAGAGGGGGAGAGCTGGCCAGGAAGGTCCAGGGAAAGAGAAGCAGGCTTGGGAGAGCTGCTGAGGTCACTTTGGGACATAGGAAGAGGACAGGGGACGCCAGGAGGTGGCTTTCAGGAGACCTGTAAAGCAGACATGCCAGAGAGGAGGGCCCGACCAGAGCAGGTCTGGGGGTAAAGGAGGAAATGCAGGAAATGCTTCTCCTCTCCTGCCTCGGCCTCATTTTTGACGAGCGGCCTGATGCACGGTTGTTTCGCTGTCCAATGTTGTTGGGTCAGATCTGATTGATGAATGGAGCCCTGCCCGATCCCACACGCCCCTCGGTCACCATGGAGCCCGAGCCCACTGCTCAGTCACTGTGTCGCTCCGTCTAGCTGAAGGTCTTGCTCTTCTTCACTGACGCTTTACATTAGCAAAGGCATTCTGGTGGCAGGGTTCACGACAGTGTCGTGCTGCTAACCAGAAGGTGAGTGATTCAAATCCGGCAGCACCTCCACGGGGGAGAGACGGGCAGCCCACTGGAGGGAGGGTCGGTCACTAGGTGTCGCAGTCTATTTGATGGCAGCGAGTTTGGTCTGATTTGGGGGCGGGGGGAAGGAGGAGGGGAATTTATAATTTTTTTTCCATTGTTCAATATTTTCCTCCCCGCTCTCAACCCTCTCCACAATGCACTCCTTGTTCTAGATTGTTCTCATAAATATAATGCTTAATCATATATTCCTTTTGGGCATTCTTCTAATGCAGTGTTAATTATCTATCCACTCTTTTCCCATGGATTTGGGGTTTGTGTTTAATTTGCCAAGCATGATGTCTTTCTCCAGGGTCTGGTCACTCCCAAAAACATGCCCAAAGTATATGCAATGTGGGCAAGGAGCACCCTGGCTTCTCTTCCTGGCATACAGGAGATACTCTGTCTACACGGGGATGGATGGATGGTTAGAAGCCAAGAAAAGAAGAAGGAAGCGTGGTGGTGGTTATTGTGGAGTCACGCCTAATGCATAGAAACCCGTGTGCTGTGGAATACCACTGCTCCATAGGCTTGTTCAAGGCTGTGTGGCCTCCTAGAAAAAGCCCTGGTGACATAGTGGTTAAAAATTCAGCTACTAACCCGCATCCACTTCCTAAACAACATGCCTCTGGAAATTCTATGAACTTTGATAAATGATGACAGTTATAGAAAGGCTTCAAGCCTTTTGTTCACAGGGTTGCTATGAGTTGTGTTGGACTCGATGGCAGTCAACAACAACAAACACCACCGAAGGTATAGTTTCATTTTCCTTGGATCCACAGTCAACAAACATGGTAGCCGCAGTCAAGAAATCAAAAGACACTCTGCAGAGCTTGCTCTACAGCAAACTGTGAGAGACTGAACCCTATCTGCCTCTATTTCCAATAGACTTTCTTCCATCTTTGACTCACACACACACACACACACCAGCCAGGAAGTTTTTTTTAAGTGAATATAAAATTATTGAAAAAAGGGAACCTGAACTTTAGTTAAAACACAGCTAGAACAATCTGCAGTGGCAGGAGAAGAGATTCGTTGATTTTTCTGTGGTTGGTGGTGTTTGCTGGTCTCTCGGTGATAGAAGCTACAGGTTTTTTCAAAGGCATGGAGAAGCTGCTGGAGGTTTGGCTCTCCTGGCAGCAGACCGACATGAACCGAGGACCTGGGCATCTTCACATCATCCCTAGATCCCAGCGGGATATACTTTTGGAGGATGTGCAATATTCAATCATAAGCGTGACAAAAACTGACGTGCTAGAAGCTTATGTACTCAGTGAGTGTAACCTGTTTGTCTCCAAGCACATTTCCCTGTGAAGACCTGTGGGACCACCCTCTTGCTGAAAGCACTGGTTCCCCTCTTGAATCTTGCTAGGGATTGACAGTGGGTTTGACTCAATCCAAAGCTCCCTTTATTCTCATAAGAATTTCATTAAGCCATCTTACCAAGGGTACCGACACCAGAATTTCCAGGAAGAAATAGTTTCTTAAAGCAGTTTTCCCAAATGGAGCAGCATACCATATGGGACATATAAATTCTGACTGCTGGTACTTGAATACTCTAGATTTTCCAGAGAGTCAGGGAATGGGCCAGCCAGATCAAACCCTGGAAATCCTGATGAGTGAGCTCAACTCAGTAGTTATGGACCAATTCTACATGAAAGATAGTGTGACTCTGCGAGTGGAATTCGTGACCTGATACCAGGTTCTGTCATTGATGCCACACTGTTCAATCCTTGTAGGTATTCAATGAGTGGAATGAAATCAGATGCACGTCACTCCAGAACCAGAATTTTCTTAGGTTAGCTTTGAAACAAACTTAAGTCAGACCTCCTAACTCTCCTGATCAGGAAAGTTGTGAAAGTCTTCAAACCAGGAAAATCTGTGACCATCCTGTTTGTAAACCAGAGTGCTAAATCTCATACAGTGTTTTAAATTGTCCCAGAAGATGGAAGGTTTTAATATCATAATTATCAGAGTGCTTTGGTCAATGATTACAACTTTGTTTTACCAGTTTTGCTAAGAAGCAGCAACAGCATAGTTGATGAAGAAAAAAAACATAAAAAGAGAAAACAAATAGAAGAAGGTACTGGCTTCTATCTAGGTATTGATACTGGGGGCAGTGCTTTCCATAACCACCACCTAATAATTGCAGAAAGCCCTAGAAGTGGTCATAATGTAATCATTTTTAATTGTATGCAATATTATATCAAGGAGTTAGAAATCTTGTAGGAATGCTCTCTTCTGTGTTTAGGTGTTCTACACCATGATGGATGGAGAAGAGATTGAGGTTGTTAACAATTACAGCTTGCTCCATAAGCAATACTGTTGGCACAGTCAGGAAATCAAGACAAATTGCATTGGGAAAATCTGTTGTCAAGGCCCTCTCCAGAGTACTGAGAAGCAAAAGTATTAGTCTAGAGATTAAGGTGCACCTGATCCAGGCCATGATCTTCTCAGTTACTTGCTATGCCTCAAAGAGCTGGACAGTGACTAAGGATGACAGAAGAAGAATCGATGGCTTCGAGTTGTGGTGCTGGAGATGAGCCACCAAGAAAACAAATAGGTCCATCTTGGAGGCAATGAAACCAAGTTTCTTCTTGAAGGCTAGGATCTTGAAGCTCCGTCTCACATACTTTGGGCACGTGGCCAGGAGGGACCAGTCCTTGGAAAAGGACATCATGCTTGGAAGGGTGGAGGGACTGTGCAGGAGAGGAAGAACCCAGATAAGATGGATTGATTCAGTCTGGGGCAATGGGGGTTGATGTGTCAGAATCAGGAGACGGGATCAAGACAGGGCAGGCTTCAGAGCTGCTGCACATTGGGTCGCTATGGATTGCAGGTGACTTGACAGCACATAACAACGACAACATGCCACTCTTGCTGAGAAACTGAAGTGCATGTAGAAAAAAAACTTTTACGGTATGAAACTTTACAGCTGTTTTGAAAACAATTCCATTTTATTTGTGCACAGTGTAATAGTTCTCCAGGTACCACCCAAAATTCCCCACAGACAAGGCTTTTGTCCTCATTCGGTATTGGCCTCAGCCAAACCTTCCAGGATTGTTCTATTAAATTGCTGCCAGAATTTTACATCCAGTTACCTCCAGTTTTGAGAACATTTTCTTAGGAAGGTTACTGAAACCAATTTCTACTTCATAAAGATGTTTTTGGCCAATAATTACCACGCTTCTTCTGGGAGGGGGGCGGGAAATAAAAATTCGGAAGACAGACTGCACTGGAAAAATCTGTCAGAGACTCTCTAAAGTACTAAACAGCTGTGTCAGCCTAGAGATTAAGATAGGAGTCTGCTCCAAGCCAGGATATTTCCAATTGCTTCCTATGTATCTGAAAGTTAGACAATGAATAAGGATGACCAGAAAAAGATTGATGCCTTTGAACCGTGCTGCTGGAGAAGAGTACTGAATACCGTGAACTGTCTCAGCACAAACAAGTCTGTCTTAGAGGAAGTGTAACCAGGCTGTTCCTTAGAAGCAAGGATGGTGAAACTGGGTCTCACGTACTTCGAGCTTTATGTTGTCAGGCAGGGCCTGTTCTAGGAAAAAGACCCCATGCTAGGAAAGCTTGAGAGTCAGGACCCTCAACCAGATGGACTGAGCCCGTGACTGTAAACGGGTTGAGTGTAGATGGTGAGGATGGCAGGGGCAGGGCAAGGTTCTGATCTCCTGCTCAGAGGGCCGCTATGAGGTTTTGCTGGCTTGATGGCTCACAAACAATAACCAAAGTGTGGTGGTTTTAACTCACTGGCTACTCTGAGAGGGAAGTGAGCCAGGGAGCGTCCACAACAACTTAGAGCCCTGGAAACCCTGCAGGCTTTCTACAGGAAGTAGTGCTACTTCCCGACGGGGTCACTGTGTGTTAGAACCTACTCGATGGCAGAGGATCTGGTTTGGACTAGGTGACCTTCTAGAAGCAGATCATATCAAAGCTGGCTTCCAAGCTTGAACTCCTAACTTTTCGGTTGTTCAGCTTTTAACCGCTCAGGGCTCGTGAGAAGATGGTTTCTGTTGTGCACCAGCAAGTCAATTCCCATTCAAAACCACACCATAGGACAGCATAGAGTGGCCCTACGGGTCTCGAAGGCTAAGGTCTGTACAGTTGCCAACTCGTCTCTCTCTGGTGGTTCAGTATTCCACCCACCTTTCAGTTAGCAGCCAACACTTAAGCACTGTGCCACCAGTGTTCCTTGGGAGGAGGGGAGGAGGGATAAAAAGATGGATGGTTGGAGGGAAGCCATCTTCATTCTCTGAGGCTAACCACAACACAGAAGGGACCTGGGCACATCCAGGCACCAACATTTCAAGAGCATGGAGCCCTCTGGCTCAAAGGCAGAGGACGGAGGAACCGGCTTGGATTCTGCATCTATTCAGCACCTACTTAGTCCTTTCGGAAGCTCTGATGCCATGGACCATAGGGAGGTGCATGGTGACCCAAAGGTGGTGTTAATCCTTAGTGGCTCCTCAAAAGAAAGATAGGCAGGCCCCTCCTGCACAACTTAGTCTCGAGAGCGCGCTGAAGGAACTGAGTGTTGGTTCCAACTCAGCAGAAATGAGCTGAGTTGACCGAGCCCTTGTCCCTGTGCTGGACTTGGTCTGCCCCCTTAAGTCCCAGCATGGAAAGTGTTCCCAGGGATATGTCCACTGGGAGGAGGAAAGGGGTATAGGGAGACTGGGGAGAGGAACCAGTCCCTCCTTGAGTGTAACCTTCCACACAGGGGTTTTCTTCTCCAATGGAACACGGTGGCGGCAGCTGAGGAAGCTTACCATGCTTGCTCTCCGGGACGTGGGCATGGGGAAGCCAGAAGGTGAGAAGCTGATCCAGGCTGAGGCCCAGTGCCTGGTGGAGGCGTTCCGTGAGACCGCAGGTCAGTCCAGGGTCCCCACATTACCCCATGGCCCACCCTGGGAATGAGCACAAGGGCATGCTTGGGGACCCCCTCACCTCCACCCTCTCCTCTGCCTGTCATGCTGTGTCTCAGAGTGTCTCTCTGGCAGGATGTCTGTTTTCTGATACTGTCCAAGGAGCTGTGCTTAAAACTCTTGGCTGGTAACTTATTTGTCAGTGGTTCAGACCCACCAGCTGCTTCTCAGAAAAAACAACGTAGTGTCTGCTTCTGTAAAAGATGGCATCCTTGAGAGCCAGAAAGGGTGGTGGTCTTGGTCCACAGGTTCACTGAGAATCAGCTGATGGCAGAGGGTTTGCATGGTTGGGTATTATCGGCCTACTTGTTCTCTTTTTATCTCTCCCCAGTTTTTTCCCCTCTCTACCTGTCTTTTTTCCTGCCTATATATTAGATAAAGAATTCAACTTAGTGGAGTTTTAGTGGTTGTTGGGTTGGGAGGTTTTTTTTGTCCCCTGAGAGATACCTTTAAATCTTTGGAATTTTCCAAGTAATTGAGGCAGCTTTGTTAGTTACAGTGAATTCCAATGGTGCAGGCCTTAGGATGCTGCGCTGCTAACCCAAAGGCTGACCTCTCCAACGGTTGGAACCCACCGGATGGAGACGGGCAATCTCCTCCTGTGCCATTTACAGCCTTGGAAACCCAACAGAGAGTCAGCTAGGAGTCAGTTCCAACTTGACGGCATCAAGGTTGAGTTTTTGAGTTTTGTTATTTAAGCAACACCTGAGGAATTGTGCAAATGAAAGGGTCACCTGACAGCCCCTGGTCAGGGATGCAGGAAAGCTGATATGATTCACTCAATGTTAACTATGTAATGAAGGCAATAAAGGCACTGGGCACAGACGCTCCCCAAGCTTCCTGGCCCGTGAATGCCATCCATGCACATGGGAAAGTCACACATCCCTTGGGACTTGGGGACCCTCCCAGATATTTGTATCCATTTTTGCAAAACTAAAGCTGTGATGCTGAGTGCTATAGGGGAGGGCAGGTGGCATAGTCCGCAAGGAGTCACACATGAAGCCAAAGGCAGCCTTTCTCTGGTGGTTCAAATCCACCAGGAGAAAGATGGACAATCTCCTCTCGTGCCCCAGTGGCGGGTCAGCTGTGAGTTGGTTCCACCCTGATGGCAGTGAGTTTGGGGGTTTTGTACATAGCACTTCCCATAAGTTCTGGGGGCTGTTCCAGTACCAGACCCAGAAGCCAGCAGATCAGAAGTTAGGGAGCCCCAGGGAGACTTCAAGCTCACAGCTGACATCCTGAAAGGGCAGAGGGAAACCCCGGCAGCTGGGGTCAGAAGCGGGGCGGGCTCCTCATCTTGTGGTTTAGTGTGCCCTCTGGTGGTCAGTCTGAAGGACCCCGTGCTCCTTGACCTTGTGAGGCCTGATTCGGCTCCAGGCGGCCAGAACCGAACCCAACAGAGAAGTGAAAAGTAGATATTCCATCTGATGGCCTCAGAATGCCTTGTATCTGTCTCTCTGTGGCTCTTCGCCAGTCTGTCTGTCTGTCTTTCTCTCTGTCTGCCCTCTCTCTTCTCTCTCCCTGCCCTCTTGTCTACCCCTTGTCCATTTTTTTCTATTCTCATTCTTTCTCTGTATCCCTGTCTCTCTCCACGCCTGTCTCTGGTCAGGTTTACCCCTGACTCTCTATCTTGGGGGTCAGCTTCCCTCTGCCAGTGTCCATCACAGTTGCCTCTATCCCCCACCCAGGACAGCCATTTGACCCCTCTCTGCTGCTGGCCCAGGCCACCTCCAATGTCGTCTGCTCCCTCACCTTTGGCCTCCGCTTCTCATATACGGACAAGGAATTTCAGGCTGTGGTCCGAGCGGCTAGTGGCACTCTGCTGGGGATAAGCTCCCCGTGGGGCCAGGTAAGGAGGGGGAATCCCTTGTCAGTGCCCCTTCCCTGAAGGTTCCTGCCCCAACTCTTCCAGGAAGCCCCACGTAGGGCCAGACCCCACGAGAACCAGCTTCCCTTCTCCCCACAGTCCTACGAGATGTTCTCCTGGCTCCTGCAGCCCCTGCCGGGCCCCCACAAACAGCTCCTCAGCCACGTGGGCACCCTGGCTGCCTTTGCTGTCGAGCAGGTACAGCGGCATCGGGGAAACCTGGACCCCTCAGGCCCTGCCTGTGACGTCGTAGATGCATTCCTGCTGAAGATAGCACAGGTGGGGGTCCCTCCTGAGTGGGGTGGTGGCCCAGCTACGGGTGGGTCGCTCTGACCTCTGACTCCATCTGTGTGGCTGCTATTTGGGTTGTCTCTGTGTTTCTCTCTATGTACTCATGTCTTCATGTGTGTGCATATCTGGGGGTGGGGTGTGTGTGACATACCAGCTCTCCCTCCGTCTCTTCGTGCCTCTCTGTGTGCCTTCATGTATACAATCTCTGTTCTCTATGTATGTGTCTGTCTGTCTGTAGACCTGCCTGCCTCCTGGTGTATGTATGTATTTGTCTGCATGTGTATGTGTGTCTGTCTGTCTATCTCGGCTTTGTCTCTCTGCATACCTCCTCTGTATGTATGATGTATGTGTGTATGTCTGGTGTGTGTCAATGTCTGTCATCTGTCTCTCCGTGTGTCCTCACCCCACCACCTACCTCATGAGCATATGAGTGTCAGAGTTTATCCCTGTTTTCTTCCTTTCAACCTCAGGTCCCTTGTCCCAGCACCAGAAATCCACAACCACCATATCACCCACACCCTGCTCCTCTCACCCACCCCAGACAGACATTTGAGTCAATTGTAGTCACATAATTGACTGAATTATGAAACCATGCGATTATCCAATTACATGAGCAAATACTTTATTAATTATATGATAAAAATCAGGGCACCCTAGTGGCATTGTGGATAAGGAGTTGCTCTGCCAACCCAAAGGCAAGTGGTTTGAATCCATCAGCTTCTGATGAGAAAAGATAGGCAGTCTCCTCCCTCAAGATGTGCAGCGTCTGAAAACTCCCCTGAGGGCCAGTTATGAGTCACTTCCAACTCAACAACATATAACAACCACCACCTACAGGGCAAAGAAAATTGCTTTTGAATTGTACAAATTTTAAGATTAAGGGAGATATTCAGGGCTCCATCTTTTAAATAAATGCAGCTGCCATGTTCATGGAGAGAGAAAGACTATTTTTTGTTACCCCTGTAGCTTTTTCTTTCCATTTTTAAAAACATTTCAGCCGGAGAGAACTAGTATGAGAATCCCACCTCCCAACCCTCCCAGGCATTTATCTTAACTCCCCAGTAGAGATTTTGGTGAGCCTTGCTGCCCCAGGTCTCTTCCCTGCAGCCTGTGTTCTCTGAGCCCCGCTGCCTCGTTTCTTCCAGGAAGAACAAGACCCAAACACAGAGTTCACCGAGAAGAACTTGCTGATGACAGTCATTTATCTGCTGTTTGCCGGGACGGTCACAGTCAGCGCCACAGTCTGCTACACCCTCCTGCTGCTTCTGAAGTACCCTCAGGTCCAAGGTAGAAGCCTTTTCCACCAACCAGACCCCAAGGATAGAGGGAGGAGACTGAACAGGGGGGCTGGTCATGCAGCAAGGGATGGACAACAAGCATAGTGTTTGAGGTATCTGAGGAGTAGGCAGGAGAGGTGCCTACAGGGCTGGGTCGTGCGGGGCCTTATGCCTTCATAGTAAGCTCTGTGCCTAGGCCCTGGATGTGTTTGTTGTTGCTGTTGGTAGGTGCCATCAAGTCAACTACCACTCATAGCAAACCAATAAACAACAGATCTCTTCTGAGCCATCCTCACCGCCTCCCACATGCTTAACCCTATTGTAACAGTCACTGTGTCAGTCCACCTCATCGAGGCTTCTTCTCTTTCTCTGACCTTCCACTTTTCCCAGCATGACATCTTTTTCCAAAGAATAGCCCCTGTTAATAATATACCTTAAAAATGTAAGGCCAAGTTTCAGCCTCCTTACCTCAAAGGTGAGCCCTTTGTCCAAGACAGGCTTGTTTGATCTTGTGACAGTCCCTGGGGTATTCAGCACGCCTGTCCAACACCACAGTTCAAACGCATTGATGATTCTTCTCTCATCCCTATTCATTGTCCAACTTTCAGATGCAGAGGAAGGAACTGAAAAGACCATGGCTTGCATCAAGTGCACTTTAGTCTTTAAACTGAAGTTGTTGTTCTTTAGTACTTTGGAGAGGATCAAAATTGCATTACAGGCTTGAGCTGCCCAAGAAAGGAGCTCTGGCATTGTAATATGTCAAATGCTGGGCTGCTAACCTCAAGGTTAGTGTTTCAAAACTACTAGCCCCTCCAAGTAAAAAACAAAACAAAAAAAAACCAACCACAAAACACAAAAATTGAGCCAATCTGCTCCCATAAAGATTTACCATCTCAGAGATCCGATGTGGTGCTTCTGCTCTGTCCTATAGGGTCGCTATGTGTTGGAATTTACTCAAGGGCAGGGGTTTGGCCCAATGGTGGTGACTGCAAGGGAGAAGGACCAGGTAGAGACCAAGGTGGAGAAAGGGACAGAGGTCAGGTGATCAAATGGTAGAGAATGACCAGGGAGGGAGGCGTGTCTGAGGTGAAGACAGGGAAGAGGAATAACAGGTTAACAGGTCACTGAAGACAGTGTGGGACAATCTGACTTTAAAGGAATTGGAGAACTCCTGAAGGAGTTCAAGAGGCCATGAGACACCCACGTGCAGATCAGAGGTTACAAGGCTGGGGTGCGAGGGCAGGAACTGATACCACAGTAGTGAGGGCAGTGTGCACGTGTGCAGTGCCGGGCTGGGTCCCAGCTGGAGGAACTCTTGTTAAACAGCATTGGAGCAATGGGATTGGCTGGCCTAGGAGACAGGACTTGGGAGTCTGATGACCTCGATGGAGTGGAGTCAGCTCTGACGTCAGCTCTCCAGGCCTCAGTTCCTTCATCTGGGAAATGGAATGGATGGATGGATGGATGAATAATGGCACCTGTCTCATGAGTTGGCTGTGGGAATGAAGAGACCTTGGTTGTAAACACCAGCACACAGGACGGCTCAGCAAGGGCACAGGGATGCTCCTCCCAGCCTGTCTGCCTTGCTCATCGACAGGGTGAGAGCTTTCCCTCCGTAAGAAAGTCTGACTTCACCTCCATCCACTTCCTCTTGGTTTGCAGAGCGGGTGCACAAGGAGCTGACGCAGGAGCTGGGCACTGGCCGGGCACCAGGCCTGGGGGACCGTGCCCGCCTCCCATACACAGATGCTGTTTTGCATGAGGCACAGCGGCTGCTGGCACTGATACCCATGGGTGTACCCCGCACCCTCACTCAGACAACCAGCTTCCGAGGGTACACTCTGCCCCAGGTGGGTATGCCGGACCACCTGTCGCGCGCGTGTGTGTGTGCACGCGCGTGTGCATGCATACTATCCATCTCTCTCTCTCTGGGTTCTCTTCATCCAAATTCCAGTGAGATTTAGCTCTGGAGCTCTAGTGGTCTAGAAGCTAAGAAATTTCACTGCCAACCCAAAGGCAGAGCTTGGAATCCACTAGCTGCTCCACAGGAGAAGGATGAGCAATCTCTTCCTATGTGTTAACATCACCAACCCCAGTGACTAGGAAACTGCTAGGGGGTATTTCTTACTCTATCTCTGCATTCATTGTTCTTGCCCTTTGATTCTGTCTCTGAGCCTCAGCTTCCCCGACCCAGGATCCTAATCCTAGTCCTTTCTAAAATTTTGGGACAATCTCAGGAGGTAACAAATAAGGACGCAATTTGAGAACTGAAGAGCTTTCCCGATTCTGGCTGTGACCCTCTCCCCCAGACCCTGCTACAGACACACACACTCACTTGCACATTCTGTATCTTGTCACGTGCAAACAGACTCACAACCACGCTACACACACACACACACACACACTCTCACACTCACACTCACCACGATTCACTACTGGCCCTTCACGTGAGGAGCAATTCAGACCTGACCCACCAGGGGGCGACGTTCCCTCAGAAACTAGAGGCTGCCCAGACCGCCTGCTTTCTCCTTCACTTCAGAACGGACCCAAACCCAAGTTGAATTCAGAGCTGCTGTTTTCTAAGTGGGGCCTTGAGCAAATGACTTCACCCTCTAAGTCCCTGTGTCCCAAGCTGGGGACAATAATAGTACAAAAATGGTAGGGCAGAAGGCCTAGACCTACTCAATTTCACAAGGAGAGAGAAGTTAAGATCAGCCACTCAAGACAATAAAAAATTTCTCTCCAACCTTTTTTATCAATTCTGACCCCAGCTGTCACTCTCCACTCTTGTGCTGGATTAGAAGTTTCGTTGCAATGGCCACACAAAGCTCAGGCAGCACTCCCAGTTATTGGGGAGCTCTGGTGCTGTAGTCTAAAGGGAGTTGCATTGCTAACCTTAGGAGAGCTGGCTCAACTCCACCAAGGACTTTGTGAGAGAAAAAAGGGCAGTCTCTTCCTGTGTGATTTACAGCCTCAGGAACATTACTGGTTTTCAACGGCAATGAGTGTGGTGGTTTAGCCCAGAGAGAGTTGTGCTGCTAGGCCAAAGGCAGCACTTCTCTGGTGGTTCGAATCCACTAGTGTCTCCTTTGAGAGAAAGATGGCTAATCTGTCTCCTACAGATCATGAGGCACAATATTACAAGAATTTGAAAAGCCTTGGAAATTTCTGGAAACACATCTGAGCTTGTTTGGTCTCCCCAGATCCAGGAAGGAAGAACCTTCAGGAGCAGCCCTTACCCACCTACCCTTGCCACCACCTTCAAAAGGCCATAGTGACAAAAAGCTACACTCGAATATAGAGGGCCTGGGGCATCACAGCTGAATCTCACCTACTCTAGACTTTCCACATGAAAATAGAAATATCCCAAGGTCTGACATACCCAAACAATTACCAGAGGCAACTTGCTTCAATTCTCATGGCCTCAGTTTTCCCATCTTTAAAATGGGAATATTTGTAGCTATCACTAAACCTGTTAAAGTCAAGTGCATGTGGGCATATACTCACAGCAACATATGTTCAGAATCAGAATCACAGAAATGCTGATGGCTTGTGACTTAGGCCATCACATCAGGGCCGGCCAATGGGAGACAGGTCTTGAATGCTGTAGGCAAAAGTAGGAAGGGATAGTGGTGGAGTAAGGAAGCGTGGGTGGGCAGCAACATTGAATCTATTGGTCATCGCTATAACTGGGCAATTGTCTTTCATCTGTTCTTTTCTGTGGAATGCTTGTCTGTCAGATACTATTATATATATTTAAAGATTAAAACAGACTAGGAAGAAGGATTGGCCATCCACTTCCGAAAAAACAGGCCTTCGAAAACCCTATGTACACAGGTTAGAACAGCGTTTAGAGCTTTTATACATAGGGTCACTATGAGTCACCAACAACAACATCAATAAACCTGTTAAAGTTAAGTGTATGTGGGCATATGTGTATGTTTGAAAAAGTGTCTGTTACCTGCAAGGGCATGTCTTTTTTTTTTTTACTTTATTATTTTTTTTGTGTGTACCGTCAAATCAGATCTGACTGGTACAGGAGGAGACTGCCCCTCCATCTCCAGCAGAGCATCTGGTGGATTCAAACTGCCTACCTCTGGGATTGTAGTGCAGCTTCTTGCCACTAGGCCACCAGAGCTTCCTAAGGACATGTCTTACTTTATGTAAAAGTACCTGACCCACTATAAACACAAGCCAAACCCATTGCTGTTGAGTCAGCTTGACCTACAATAGCCCTCCAATGTGTTTCTCTCTTCCAAGAGACTGGTAGATTTGAACCTGTGATCTTTTGGTTAGCAACCTGACACATAGCATACCATGCCACCACGGCTCCTTGACCCTTTGTAAGCATGCCATAACTGATTGGTGGCCATGTTTTCTAGCGTGTCCCTCATACTCCAGGCTCTCCTCTTGCCTGGGAACTGAGTTACGAGGGTACTGAAGAATGCTTCCTTTCTTTCCCCTCAGGGCACTGAGGTTTTCCCCCTCCTTGGCTCTGTTCTACACGACCCTGAGGTCTTCGAACAACCAGAGGAGTTCAACCCAGGCCGTTTCCTGGATGAGCATGGAAGGTTCAAGAAGCAAGAGGCGTTCCTACCCTTCTCCTTAGGTACCTGCCAGGCCCTGTTCCTCACACTGACCACAGAGAGGTCCAGGCTGCCTCTGATGTCCCGGGGTCCCTCACACCCGAGCTCACAAGTTCTTCCCCCGGGTTTGGGTCTGGGCAAAGTTGCCTCAGCTTTGTCCTTCTCTTCTCACCAGGCAAGCGCGTCTGCCTTGGGGAAGGCCTGGCGCGCTCAGAGCTCTTCCTCCTCCTCACCACCATCCTACAGACCTTCTCCCTGGACAGCCCGTGCCCACCGGGTGCTCTGAGCGTGCAGCCAGCTGTCAGTGGCTTCGCCAACATTCCCCCAGCCTTCCAGCTGCAGGCTCTACCCCGCTGACTGCACTCCGTCCAGGAGGACCAGAGGAAGAAGGAAGCCTTGGGAGGTGATGGCTGCCAGGGACAGGGCCTCTCTGGCCTTGACAGTGGACATGGACATGGTTGTGTCTCCAGAGTCAAAGGCAGCCACACACACCCCTGCAGCTGTCTGCACAGGCACAGCTCCTGCCTGCCTGTTCATGCGGTAGACAGCACCACATCGGCCGGCTCACGCAGCCACGCATTCGACCATGCAGCATCCCTCAGACATGAACTGAATCCACCTGGAATCACATGCAGAGGTAACCCGCCTGCTCACAGGCACGTCCCTGCTCTGAACACACACCTTCTTCATTCACCAAACCCGCCGAGTGCCCATCATCCCCTAGAGCCCAGCACAGGGAAGAACACCCGTCACTGGCCCGTTTGTGTCACCTACAAAACACCTCTGTCTGACCCATCGCTGTCCATGCAAGTGACCACACTCACCCCCACCTCTGTCCACACACCCCAATGTGGGGCCACACAGCAGGTGTGTGGGCGCACACACAAATCACACACATTACTGCCACTGCTCCACTCACCCCACAATAGCCCATCACTGAGATGTACTGCTCCTGAGGTTGAGGCAGGTCCATCCCCAGCCACCGGCACCCCCATCCAGGCGCCCCGTCCCCCAGATCTCCAGGAACATCCCTCATGTGCAGTTGTGCACACAGACCTGGGAGGTTGGTAAACTTGGGTCCACGTGGACCCTCAGACCAAAGGCACACCCTTTGGCCCTGCTTGTGGGACTGTGTGGAAAGCCTACTTCCTGCCCTCTCCCCAGTTACACACGGTGGTTATGAGATGCAGGGGTTAGAAGGAGCTTTAGGAGCTCAGAGGTGTGCTGCTCCTTCAAAACCCCAATTAGACCCCAGGACAAGGGTCTCCTCGGGCCAAACTGGGGCGAGATCACGGCCCCCAGCCTCACGGGATAAGCAAGGAGGATGCATCTGGCAGCCCTGGTGACTTAAAAGTCCCTGTTTTGCAATAAAGGAATTTTTTTCCTGTCTCTTGGCTGGGCCCGGAGTGGGTCTGTGACTGTATCCGTCACTGGGTTCGAGTGAGGTTTGGGGGTGTCTACTCCTCTCAGCCCCCTCCCCAGAGGCTGGGCGGGAGCTGAAAAACATGGCCCCCGCCCACCGTGGCTGTTGACATCAGTGCCAGATGTGGAGCTGAACGTGGGGCCACGGAGGGAGAGGGCTGGGTGGGCCTACCATTCTGAGCCAAGGCGGAGGGTAGGGTACCAGAGAGTGTCATTTTCACATGGGGTGAGGGGTTGCTGCCTCAGTGGCCAGAGAATTCTGAGAACTCTGCTGATCTGAGCTCAATATTTAAATCCAGACCTTACCCCATTGCCCTGTTTCCACCCATTCCCTCATCCTTTTCCTCCCACTTTCTCTGCATAAGGAAGTCCGGGAGCATCATCTTAGCTGTCAAGAACTATGTGGAGGTTTGCAAATACACAAAAAAATAAAACGGTACAAGGAATTCACCCCCCTCCCACTGGTGCTGGTTATGCAGCCCCAAGGATCACCATCAACTTTCTGCTGCTTTTATTTCATCAACTCATTTTCAGATTGTTCTCAAGCAGATCCCAGAAAGCAACTGAATAGGCACTGCCAGTAGCTCAGGCAAGATAGTTCCTTCCCTTAATGTTTTATGGTCTCCTTGCCAATTACGCGGCACAAGTGAAGGCTCTGTCCTGGGACACGCAGGTGCCACCTCCTAGATCGCACACCCACCCACCCCCAAGCAGTTTGCTGCACTGCAGCCCCACAGTTCTGTTTGCCTGTCTGGCCGTCTTGTTTTCTCCATGCATGTAAAAGTGAATTGCAGGAAAGGGGGAGACATCAAAGTCAGTTGACATAGTCCACAAAGAAAATGCTTTGTGCATCGTACTTTTCTGAGTAGTGACTGGGGTCTTAACAGCTTGTGAGCCACCATCTAAGGTGCAACTATTAGTCTTCCTTGTTCTGAACAAAGAAAATCAAGGACCATTAATGCAGAGAAATAAAGAACCAAATGAGCTTTCAGTCTCCACAGCCCAGAGGCTAGAACTACATGGTGTCTAGCTGCCACTGCTGACCATTCTGAAAGAATCACAGAAGAGGGGCCTGGAGAGAGCAGGGGGAAAGGTGGAACAAAACTCAAAAACATAAGAAAGACCAGGCTTGCTGTCTGATAGAGACTGGTAGAACCCTTGAGACAATGGCCCTTAGTCACCCTTCAACTTTTAGCCAAATACTAGGCCTGTACGGTGATCAAGACCACCAGGGAAGAATGCACTACTTAGCGTGATCAACTACACAAGATCATAAGAGCAGCATTTGCTCAGGGTTAAAGCTAAGAACGAAGAGAAAAGAAGGATTGATGGGAATGGGAAACACAGGGAAGTGGGAATAGTGCTGTTACAGTGTGGGGCTCTAATCAGTGTCACTAAACGTGTATGAGTTGAATGGAAAACCAATTTGCTCTTGTAAACTTGCATTTCAATTACAGTAGAGTGAAAAAAAACCTTTTAAAAAGTCAATTACAAACATCAGTCTATCTTCCTCTAAAAATCCTTCAACAACGTACGTATCATCACTAAAAGTTGCTTTGAAAATGCCAAACTTCACCATCTTTGCCTGTAAGATGAACCCTGGTTGCACTTGCTCCAGAATAGACTGGTTGTTCTTTTGGTAGTCTATGGAATATTCATACTCTTCACCAAAACTACAATTTAAAGGCATCAGTAATTATTCTGCCATTGTCCAATTTTCACATGCACAGGAAGCAATTGAAAATATCATGACTTTTTTCTTACTGATGTGAATAGTGTATCAGACTCTTTATTAGAGGCTATTTGGATGTGAGCCGTTGGTCCACCATATCACTTGCTGATGTTGGTTTTATCAGTCACTTCAGCTACACAAGTCAGGAGAGACCTATAACCCGATGTCTGGTTCACGGACTTGGAACTTGCCAATCTGTATGAGCACATGAGATGCATAAGAAGCAATTGAAAAGATCATGAACTTGGATCATGCACATCTTCATCTTTAAACTGACATCTTGTTCTTCAATGCTTCAGAGAAGTCTTTGACAGCAGATCTTCACCATGCAAAACATCTTTTGAATTCCTGACTGCTCTTACCATTAATATTGATGGTGGATCCAAGTAAAACAAAGTTGTTGACAACTTTTTTAAAAAAGAAAATAACATGGCTTGAATCAAGCACACCTTAGTCTTGAAATGGACATCATTGCTCTTTAGCTCTTTAAAGAGGTCCTTGGGCCTGCGGACACCCAGGACTGCAAGATGTCCTCCATCATACCAGTGAAAGAGAGGAAACTCATGGACGTGCAACTAGGGAAGCTGCCCAGTTGGGTAGGGACGGGGAACTTCACCCCAAGCAGCATCACGGGAACGTTCCAGAGCGGCTACCACCAATACTGCAATTAGCACATGAACCTGACTTTTCATGGTGCTGGCAGCTTACGTGGTGCTCAGCTACTGCCTTTCTTACAAGGAGCTCAGACATGAATGGTTACAGAAGTACCACTAAAAGGAGCCGTCTGCTTTCTTGGTGAGGGTGTCTTTGCCCTGGCACTCTTCCTCTCTTGAAGAACAAACCTAGGGGAGCTCTGGTGGCCTAGTGGCAAGAAGCTGTACTGCAATCCCAGAGGTACGCGGCTCAAACCCACCAGATGCTCTGCTGGAGAAGGAGGGGCCATCTCCTCCTGTACCAGTCAGATCCGATTTGACGGTACACACACACACAAACAAAATAATTTTTTTTTTAAAAAAAGAACAAACCTTTGTCACCTAAGTTGATAACTCTGTCCAACAAAAGATGGTGGTGGCGGTTGTTAAGTGTCGCCATGTTGTCTGTAACTCGTAGAGACCTTATGTACAACAACTCTGAACCCTGCTTTATCCTGAGCCAATCTTATTCTCTCTGACACATGTACCCCCATTACCCCAGTCACTGAGTCAACCCATCTCATCCAGGGTCTTCCTCTCTTGCACTGTCCTTCCATCCTCCCAAGGATGATGTTCCTCTCCAAAGACTGGTCTCTCCTCGCAATATGCTCTAAGTATATCAGATGAACCTTCAGAATTCTTGCCTCCAAGGAGCAGCCCGGTTTCACTCTTTCCAGGACAAACCTGTTTGTTCTCTCTGCAATCCATGGTATATTCAATCCTCTTCTCCAGCACCACAGCTCAAAGGCACCAGTTCTCCTCCTGTCATCCCTAGTCACTGTCCAGCTTTCTGATGCATAGCATGTAATTGCGAAGGCCATGGCCTGGATCAGGTGCACCTTAGTCTGTAAAGTGACATTGTTGCTCTTCAGTACTCTGGAGAGGTCCCTGACCGCAAGCTTTCCCAATGCAATTTGTCTTTTGATTTCCTGACTGCTGGTACCAAGAGTGCTAATTGTGGAGCCAAGCAAACTAAAGCTGTTAACAATCTCAATTCCTTCACTATCTATCATGATACTGCCAATTAGACCAGTGATTAGCAGTGGAATTCTCTAACCACCAGAGCTCCTTGGCTTTAGCGGAGGAATATTTAACAGTACAAATCAGATCTCTCAGTTGCTCAAGCCTCCTGATCACAAAATAAAGACCAAAATCCTCTCCATGCCAAGGGCCCCCTTTCTCTCTCTCTCTCTCCTCACCTTGCCTCATGGCCCTCTCTGAACTTCTTTGCTGTGTTCAACATATGCCTGCCTCAGGGTCTTTGCTCTGGCTGTTCTCTGTGTCTGAAATGCTCTCCACATTCTTTGCTTTCTCACTCACATCTCAATCCTAGCCTCACAGAAGCCTGTCACAAACCCCCTCCCTAAAGCAGCACGCCCACCCTTCCGCATCCCCTCCTTGCCTAATTGCTCTTCACTGGTCGTCTTGCATCCTCTTCATATAATACCTAAGGTAATTGTCTCTTTCTCTCGGAATGTGGCAAAGAACAAATAAGTCTACCTTGGATGAAA